CTCTCTCCCCCCCCCTCGCTGGCTCGCTCTCTCCCGCCCACCTTAACTCTTTCAGCTGGACTAGCAATTTAAAAAACCCTTTTCATGCAGCCAGATCTATAGCCTGCAAAATGACATTACTGTATATAGCATAGGTATTTTAAAAACAAAAACACAGCACAACTCCTTGTAGGAAGTAGAGTCTTTTGGCGGTTTTGAAAGGCATTTCGTTGCCTGGAATAGGAGGGGGGGTGAAATGAAAAGCATCGTGAATTATCATAATTTAAAATAAGCACATGCGTAAAGGAAGCCTCCTCTATCTTTCTTCTAAAAGGTAAGTTATGGTTTTGTTTACGAGGCCTCGGAGAGTTCGCAAACGAGGAGAGTGGAGGAGGCGAGAGAGAGAGAGAGAGAGAGAGAGAGAAGGAGAAGAGAGAGCGCACGCACGCGCGCAGACACACACACACAACTGCATTGTATTTTCCACAAGATGCAGAATAAACGAGGCAGGAAAACAAAGAAATGCGGGGCCGTGTGGTCCGCGAGGAAGCTTGGCGTGCCGACCTCTGTCCGATGCGAGCTTTTCACAGGGAACTGTAATAGACTCGGAAGGCTTCGCCGAATAACACCTTTGTGCGTTTGACGGCGAAGACGCACAGAAGAAAAAGCAAACTTCGAAAGATACCTGGAGAGAGAGCGCTCTTTGTTGTTGATGATGATGATGATGGTGGTGGTAGTGTTATCATTGTTGTTGTTTTCCTTTTAGGTATGGGCTGGGGATGTGAATGGAGGCAGGCAGACTCTGTGCCACCGCTATCTATGGAATTACGCGCCCGTAAGAGGAATCGTACGCACGCAAGTAAAATAAGTGGAATATTATATGGTGGGTTGTCCTCTCCCCAGCACCCCCTCCCGCTTTCCCTCGTGCCCCTCTGCCGCCTCCCCTCTGGTGAGCTCGGTGCCCGGAGAACTCAGATTTATTCGCTGGGCTTTAAGAGTTAAGATGTTGCGCGCGGGGGGGGGGAGAATAGAGAGCGAGCGAGGGAGCGAGCGAGAGAGAGAGAGAAGGAGGAAGGGATAGAGAAACCAAAGGAGGGGAGATGGGGGGGTAGGGCAGTTTTCCAGCATCCACGACACTTTGCCTAAATTAAAAAGCAACCAATCGGAACGGCCGGAAGGGGGGCCTGGCGTCCTGAGCCAGTCATTGCGGGCCTGCCAATCACTCAGCGGGTAGCCAATCAGCAGGGGCCCTTGCGCTCGACTTCCTTGTATTTGGGAAAGTGTGGTGGTGGTGCGCGCGTTCTCGGCGGAGGGTAAACATTCGACAGTCCCCGCTCTGTGAGGGAGGGACAGAGAGCGAACTGTCAGAGGGAGAGAAAGGGAAAGCGAGGAGGGGGAGGAGAGGAGGCGGCGGCGGCGGCGGCGAGGGAAGGGAAGGGCAGAGCGGAGCGGAGCTGCTGTACTCCAGCATCACCAGAGCACGCTTTGCAAGCCTGGCAGCCAACTTCCCCGCTGGAGTTAGTGGCTCAAGGATACCATCGATGCGCGCACACACCATCACGCCGCTCTCCACCGAGGCAATTCCACCACCTCCTCCTCCCTCCGACAGCGGCTGGAGCTTCTTCGGCTTTCCTTCCACTGCTCGCCTCCTTTTTTCCCCTCCACCTCTTTCTCTTCTTCACCTAGAGTGATCCGAAATTTTGAACTTTTCTTAAAGGGACAAGAAGAAGGGATTTAAAAAAAAAATTGAAAAAAAACTTACTTTCTTTTATCATGTGAAAAGAAGACTCGGGACCTAAGCAGACGGAAAGGAGGGTGAGGAGAAGGAAAACAAGAAACCAAACTCCCGCAGCAGCAGCGGCAGGAACGGCAACACCATCATCAACAACAACAACAACAAAAATGTCTCCTCTGGACTCTCGCAAGACGGATGCCAAAGGACTCTTGTTTCCAAGGGACCCGGGCGCTTCGACCGGACGCCAACTTTGAGCAATGCCCCGTCTTCAGCTTCGCCTTCTCCGCCAGCATCGCCAGAAGTTTTCTTAGGACATAAACAGAACTTGTGCGCTCGGAGGAGGAGGGGGGGGCAAAGAAAGGGGGCGACCGGAGAGATCAAGGAAGCGGAGCCGCGACAGCGAGCGAGCGAGCGAGCGGGAGAAGGAGCGAGGCGCTGTGCGCGCGCGCCCTGGGTGCGTGAGGGCCGGAAGAAAGGAGCCCACCCGCGCTCATTATTAGCGCGATACAAAGCCTTACGGAGTGAGGAGGGGGGGCCGAGAGAGAGAGAGAGAGAGGAAGAGAGTTTCTCAGCGGAGGGGTGAAGGGGGAAAAAAAACAACAACAGCCCGCAACCGCCCTCCAACCGCCTCACCCGCGGCAGCCCAGAAACTGAGGGGGACCTCGGCGCCTGACTGAGTGAAGGGAAGCCAAAAGGGGAGTTGTTGTGAGGCGACCTCCCCCCCCCCCCGCCGCCTCCTTTCCCGCTCTTTTTTTTCTTCGTCTCCCTCAATATACAGCCGACAG